TGGGTGAGGCAGATTTGGTGGTCAACTTGCATGACTTCTTCTTTTTATCAGTCTAGTCAACACTTCCGTTTGCCATGTCATCAAAATTTTAACGGAATTGACGGAGTTTAACGGAGACTAACGGTCGGTGACTAACGGTGAAACAAATCGTAAAGTTAGTGGCTAATATGAAAGAAAAGTAATTCGAATGGCAAAAGTGAAAGATTTATATAATTTGAGTGACCAAATGTGTAATTTAGCCGGCAAGTATTTTCAAAATGTAAAATTTTATCAGCGTATAGGTATACGATTGTTGTATAAAGTGTTGATGTTAAAGAAAATGGGTACTGACTGGTTAGGGTATTAGGTTGTTGATGGTTTAGAGTATATGGGTAGGTTATAAGGTGTTGATGGTTTAGAGCATATGGTATTGATTGGTTAGGGTGAGGGTAGGTGTTGTTTTCTTTTTCTCGATTTTATATTTTCTTTATAACTGCTTATAATGCTGATCATGCCTTATTACTAAAAAAACTTGGACATAATTATTGTAGCGTGACACATTTATCGATACGAGATAAAATGATTTGGTGTGTGCAAGGTAGGTTCCTATTAACGATTTTGCCTTGTTGGTTATCCTTGTTGGTGACCCCGGCCATTAGCGATTCACCACATATGGAATGAAAATTAGTTAGAGTTATTAAGTTCATCTTTCTTCATTTATTCTTTGATTTGAACCTGCATGTTTTTGTTCTGAAGGATTTTGTAGTGTCGTGCTAAAGACAACCCATCCAATTTAACTCTTCATTAATTCCCCCTTTTCCACTCTCTCACTCCCCGACGAAGCAGAAACAATCTCCTGTTGATATATTTATCGTTCATTTTAACTCTTCACTTAATAAGAAAGCGAAATTTCACATGATGATCATAAATGTCATGTAGCTTAATTGGTTAATTGTCCTTTAGTTGTTGAGTCAATAATATAGAGGTTTGTGGTTCGATACTTAGCGACTATCAATTTTTAATTTATGTTTTGAAAAGAAAGTTAGAATTTCATTTTTGAAGTACCTATGTACTTTAGTTGGGCAAGTATTTTCAAAATGTACAATTTTATGAGCGTATAGGTATACGATTATTGTATAAGGTGTTGATGGTTAAGGTAAGGGGTTCAGTGTATTGAAGTCAACAATTTTTCTAAACTTGATATGCAATCTTTGACGGTTCATTGCTTTAGGCATATGACATATGGTTAAGTAGGGTATAAGGCGTTGATGGTTTAGAGTATATGGTATTGGGTTAGAGTATAAGACCATCTTCATCCCTAAAATTGGTTAGCAATTTCTAAACGCGGTCCCTACTGCCACATCATCAATTTTAGAAATTCATCACTTATCAATTTCTAGTCATCTACATCCCTAAATTATGATAGCAATTGCCAAAGTGGGTCCCATATACTATTTCAAAGCTACACAAACACTTATTAATTGAAAAGTTAATAAACAATAAAACAGAAAAAGAAAATAGTTATCTATGTGGCATTGCTAGAAAAATTCATAATTTAGCAATCTTTCTAGTTTAGAAAGAACTCCTCCATCCCTAACCATTGCTAAGTTTTTGCCATCTAAGCTCCACCTCATCTTTAGCAATTGCTAAAAGTTGGGGATGGAGATGGTCTAAGGTGTTTATGGTTTAGAGTATAAGCATATAAGGTATTGAAGGTTAGGGTATAAGGTAGGTAGCAAGGTGTTGATGGTTTAGAGTATATATGGTATTGATGGGTTAGGGTATAAGGTGTTATTGTTGTAGAGTATATGGTATCGATTGGTTCGGGTATTAGGGTTTGGTTTAGGGGTTTAGGGTTACAATAACATATACCCTATCAATAGATTAATTTTGCTAAACGAAAAAATTAGTTAATCTACAAAGCCAGTCTAAAAGCACATCCCCATCTCCTGCCGTCAATTCCTAAACTTTTCCCTTAATCCGATGGTGAAATACCGTCGATCCTTTCCGCGTGCGTGTCACCCAATCAGATTTCGCCGTTTCCGGAAAGCCGCATTTCCCCATAACCAGTGATGGCGTTACCAAGGCCGAGGCAGTGGTGGGGAGTGATTTTAAGTAAATGGGAAGGGCAGGAAAGGCAAAGTAATTTTACGAGTCCATTTATAAATTCGTTAATTAGTGAAGGAGAGAAGGTGCTCCGAAACCCGAGAGGCACTCATCTCCTACTGCTGTTCGTTCCTCATCCTCTCAATCCCTGAAAAGAACCCTTTCTCCCATTTTCTCGATATGAAACTCTGAAAACCAACCCCAACCGCTTCTTCGTCCTCCTATCCTATGCTTTATTTTCGGATGTAGTGGTAATGTTGAGACTGCATATTATTTTAGATCTCAGTTCCTTTCATTATGTCCTTGTTAGATCATGATTGTTAAATTGACTCCTTCGTTTTATTGTTTCTTCTTTTCTCTCCATACAGGGTCTTTGTTAGAGGCAGGGAGGGGGAGCAATGACAATAAGTCGTCGTCTAAATATTGCCGAAAAAATCATCATATGTTGTTACGATTCCATAATAGGTGTTGTGGAACCCTACGTCATATGGTGGTTTTTTTGTGCAATATTGACGCGTACATGTTTATCATGCTCCGAAAATATATAAAAGGGGAAAGTTGCCATATGTATAGTATAAAAGAGGGAGGGAAAATACATTATTTTGTTTTTCAAGATTTGTACTTTTAGTGTTTGAGATCTTAATAGATCGGTGAGGGATCTTCCACTCCCAATAAAAATACTGTAGTTTATTTCTTGATTACTAACTCCATTTTCAGAAGTCTTTTACTATTGGACCAACAGTATTTTTCCGGATTTCGAACTCTGCTCCTCTGTCGCCGCATGCTCTTGTCATTTCATGCCTAAAATGATAAAGGGAAATGGAAAATAAAAATTTTCATTTCATAATTTTAGTAGCCAATATTAAATAAATTTATAAACAAGTAAAAAATACGATATAATAATTCAATAAAAAACGAGTGCTTAAAATTATTCAACTGAAATGTTGCACATGATTTATTTAGGGTGCAGCCTCCATATCGAATTAAATCAAATCCATCCGAACTATTCAGAATTCAATCAACAAACATCTAATTGCAAGACATCCGATTGAAGAACACAGAATGCAGCAGTCTTCTTATATACCAAACAGACACATAAATAAAACGACACTGCAGAAGGCAGCAGACTTCTTATAAACCAAACAGACACATAAATAAAACGACACCGCAGAAGGCATCAGTCTTCTTATAAACCAAACGGCGCTGCTTCAAGCTGACAGTGGCAGTCTTCACATAATCCTAATCCGAATAGGATAAGGACTTCCATATTCAGTTCAAGTTTTCAACACTGATCAAATAGTTGAAGCCCTTTTACACACACATTCCGAAGAACTCAAGTGTCCAAAACTCTGGTCCTTAGGTTGCTACTTCTGGTAACAGGCCTCTTCTGCAAAATCGATAACGACGATTTTAGTCGGACAAAAATATTGGTTGCAACTGCATTGTGTAGACACGAACAATTATATTTTATTCTTACCCTAGGTTGCTCGTAATCGTCGTCATCGTCGTGAGAATCAACATCATCTTCATTTTCATCATTGGATGGCCCAGACCCAGTACACTTTCTTGCATTATGATTGGTAGAACCACACTTACTGCAATGCTTTTGCCTTCTCTTCGATAATGTTGCCGACTGATTTTGAGTGGTGGGAGGATCAACATCGGTGTCATCGCCACCTCCACCTTCTTCTGAAACACCAGCATTCGGGGCATCACCGTTTGAAGTTGGCTTCACATAGCCAACAGGATGTGGGCATCGGTTCCTATAGTGGCGCCATTCCCCGCAATTACTACACTGACGTGGGTCTCCTTTCTTCCTTTTAGATTTTTTAGCCCCCGAACCTTTAGCTTTGACCGGTAATGGATCCAACAAAATATCGTTCGCCTTCGGTCTATTAATGTTGGGTATGTCCACGTTGCCAGTGTGCACCATGTCCAACTTTTCACATAATGATTGAATTCCCTCACAAGAAATCTTGAAGCACTCACTAGATTTTTCCCCTTTTAACATTAGTTGTAAGTTGTTTTGTTGAATATTACCATACGTGATTGATACAATATTTTATACAAAGTGAGTAAAATTAACGTTCACCTAGCTTTTATGAATATTTAAAAAAAAATTAAAATTGATAGTCATGGCAAACCTAAATGCGAAAAGTTGTGATTCATCTATTATGTCTGGTTCCTCCAAGCTCTCTGGTGTCTTCGGCTTCTTTGACCATCTTTGACGTACTAGGCCTTAAGGAAGTTCCAGTATGCTCTCTTCTTTCAGTACAAAAATCATATGACGGCATGGTATTCCCATATAATCGTAGTGATTACAACTACACTCCATTGCAAAGGGTTCAACTGTGTACGTGACTTGAAAAACCTTATCCGTGCCAGACACCTTGACCTTGTACACACGCTCAATTTTCGATCGCTCTGACTCCACCCTTATGCAACATGCCGACTTTTCAACCTCGTCTATGAATAAGAAGAATGCGTTCTTTGTGAAAACCGCCGCTCCACTCTTCTGAAGTGAGACTAAGACATTTCTTGTGATGGTTCGTTCTCGATGAATGGATTCAAAATCAGCATGCCACTCATTTTCAATATAATTGGCAAGTTGAGAGTTCAGTCCTTCACATCTTGATGTTGTACTCAAGCCTGCGAAGAACTTCGAACGCAAATATGCAAACCCCCATTCATGTCTTTGTGCAAATAAATTGGAGACCCAATTGTTGTGCTAAAGGGAGCATTCCTCAACCACTGATTTCCACTTTTCTTTGAATTCTGAAGGTTCCCAATCAGCTGACACAAAATGCTTCCATCGGGGCAAAAAAGTAGGATGATTCTTCACATTTTTTGTTATAGTCTTGTCTATATGCCAGGAACATAGACGATGTGTTGCATTGGGAAATACTTTATGAATTGCAATACGCATTGCTTTATCCCCATCTGTAATAATAGTCTTGGGATCTACACCGCCTAGCCTTCTATTCAAAACTCCCAACACCCAAATATAATTTTCCTCTCTCTCGTTAGCCAAGAAAGCACATGCAAATATGCAAGTTTGCGAATGGTGGCTGACACCTAAAAAAGTACAAAATAAGTTAGATTATGCAAATTGCTAGGGTTATTTTAGCATGATCAGGATAATTGTATGCGTGAAGGACAAGTAAATCAATAAATCACGAGAGGCATCTGGTAAATGTTCCTTTTGTAAGTAGCATCGAATGACAGTAATTCTCCAAAGCATGCGTAATCAGCAACAGAAACACTATCAGCCCACAAGATGTTAATAAGCCGGTCGTCTTCATCCTTCTTTAGTTCAATAACGAAATGATAGTACGCGCTGCATATAGCTTGCAGGTAGGCTAGGGCTGTTGCAGCATCACCTTCACTGATTTGTTCTTTCCTCTCTTTGTCCGCATAATTATATGCATCCTTCCTCGTGTAGCTCAAATTGTCGTAGCCTCCTGCTTCTGATACGACCAGATTCACAATTTGAGAAGTTTTCATGCCTGCAGCTCTTCTAAAATTTATCGCTGCTTTGACTGCATCACTCATACGATGTTTCCCTTTCATGTAGTGCTTATATTCTCTGGGGATCGTTTCATGTGTGTGTACATCATCAAACTGGTGCACATACCACTTCCCATCGACCTTGTCGTGTTTAACACGCATCTTGGCTCTGCAGTTAAATCTGGTCTCCCCTCTTGCTTCTCTCTTTCGTTCTGTGCTTTTCATGCGCCTCTTTCCCTCACCATAGCATAAATAGTCACGCCATATCATCACTTGGTTCTTATCACGACCAATGTCTGATTTTCTGATGTCAAAGCCTTTGACCAACCCGTAGTCCCAGTTGAAATCATAGGCTTCTTCTGTATCATCGAACCTCTTTTTTTAATATCTTCAGGGTGTAGAAATATGAGATCGGTGACATTATCTTCATGGGTGGTGTGACTGGTTCTGGCACCATCGTTTTCTTGGACTGGCTCCGACGTCAATAGTAGGACTGGCTCCGATGTCAATGGTGGGACTGGCTCCGACGTCATTGCCATTGCGACTTATTTTGGGAATGATGGCCGAATTAATGCTTGAATGGGCCACTTAATAATTATCCCCATTAAACCGAATAACACGATTTGTGATATCTTTTTTTTTGTAGGAACGATTTGAACTTTCTATTCTTTATCTTAGTGATTTCTTTACCATTTTCAGAAATAACGAAAATATTTAAAATGAAAAAGAATGCTTAGTAAAGCCAAACACCAACTAACTCTATCTATGTACTACGTGTGTGGGGAAGGATCAAATATTAATAAGAGCGAATATTTACTAATAGCAATCAATTTTTTATTCAATCGAAAAACAAAATATATTTTGATTTTTAGGTTTAATAACTACCCATGTTTATCCCAAGTTCATGTACGTTAGACTAAACCCTAACTATTTTCCCGCGGGAAAAATATGCCGCCACAATTTATCCCTGTAACCTAGTATATATAATTAATCTTCAGCGGTAGAGCAGTGGTTCCATATCCTTATTTGCCGCAATTTTGAGTACAGAGTAGAAGCTTAGAGGCACAACATGGAAAATAGGAGGATTACTCACTCTTCGTCCAAGCTTGTGGTATGTCTAATAGAGCTTTAACCATTGAAATTCATTCTAGTTAATTTATTAATCGAGGTTAACTGTCATTTAAGGAGACCGACGAATTTGTGACTCCAACAAAGAAACCAAGGCTACCCAAGGTGTGCGCACTCCATCCACTCCTGCTTCAGTCATCGTTTTTATTTCAAACGATGAATCTGACCCTGAGGTAACACCAAAGAAGCCAAATGGAAAAAGTATTTCCCTAAGTTCTGTTGAAAAGGTAATAAAGGTGTCCTATTTGCCATTCAAGTGTTAGGTTTGTTCTTTGCCGTGATTCCGTCAAACATAACGAATGCATTTCGACTCGTGTTTATTTGTGGTCCTTATTCCAGGTCGTTTTGAAGTTTAAGCTACCTACTGGTATGGAATACGATGATGAGCAAATCCAGCTTGCTCACTATATATTTTAAGCCAATCTGCAACCCAACGAAGTATTGGTCAAAACTTCAAACAACTCTTGTACCAGGAAGTCATTGTGGTCCTTAAGCCCTCGCTCATTCGTAGATGCTGAAGTAATCTACGGAACTCCAAAATATTGTTTTGTTTGTCCACTATCCCTGCTTTATACGTAGAAATATTTTGTAAAAATCTATAGTATCATGAAGTGTTTTTTGTCCATGTTATATTAGGTTATAACAGCGGTGGCCTGTCACTGTACTCTAGAAGAGTTGTGGACAAATTCTAAGGACAAAAAAGGAGTATGCTATCTGCCTGCTGAACTAGAGGTTGTGGGCCGATTTTGCTTAAGATTAATTTCATGTCACCAAACAAATACAACACATGTTTTTTTAACGTGAATGATATTGTGTTGACAAAATTTCAATTGTGCAACTACCACATGGGCAAGAACTATGTGATGAAGATTGAGGTATGGTTGGCTCCTTCTCTGGCAACTTCATGAATTCGATGCGATGGGGACAAAACCTATCCACATATCGGTTCCACGTAGCGACCAATTCTCGTGCTTGCATACCTTCAATCATCATAGTTTTGCGGTGCCGGAGAACCGGGCTCTGATAACAACTGTTACGTAGATGCGCCGTAGGGACGGAATTCTACGTATTGGATCTTTGCTTCTCCGGACTTTTGGATACGTTGCTCGACGCTCTCGAGCAGAGGATCTCCTTAATGGCGAGAACAACCCCAAAATAACTACGAAACTAATAATCTGAATGAAAGAAATAATCAAAGCAAACAACCATAAATTGGGTTCCAATCTTCTCATACTATTATTCATAGACAATGTCTCTATTTATAGAGTTACACAACCAAATACCTTTCCTTCTCACCCAAGGCTTTAACTCTCCTTATCATTTTCCTACTAGATCTCCCTTTCTTCCCTTACAAGAAACAATAATTAAATACTAACACATGTCCTAATCCAACTTGAACAATTACTAATAATAATTAATACTAATATTCCCAAATAATGACTTAATACGAACTAATAAGAAAAGATACGCAAGCCCAGTAATTAATGAAATGCTACGATGGCTCGATCTCGTAACATCCCTCCCCCCTTCAAAGAACCTTGTCCCCAAGGTTTACGCTTTCTATACTTCCAATTCAGCTTGTGTACCCAATCGACCCCTCCATCTTCACGCCATATTTGTATCGATCAAACACGGGTCCCATTACGTGAGAGATATTGAAACTGCAGCCAGCTCCTTCTTCCTTAACATTAGCTCGAGCCATGACTGCTAAGTCTGGCATCTGTGATACGACCAGCCAGCCAGAGGTTCGGCAGGGAGCCCAAGCTCTTAGAGCCTTATCCGCCGTCCTCGACCTTCCTTTTAACCCTTCAGCTCGCAACCTCTCCCTTATCGACATAGTGGTCACCCTCCTAGTCACTCTTCACTCGGCGAGATTCTCCTTCTGCCAAGAGTGTTCATCAAGGGTCAATTTCATTGCACTGATAAGTTCACCATCCCGCCTGACGTCGAGCTCAAGAGACAACTGCGGAGACAGTGACAGCGGCAACATGGATGCGGCATTTACAGTGGCTGCTTGCGGTTTCTTCCTGTATCTCCAAACGCTTCGGTAAACATGCTTACTTAGCTTATGACCAAACTTGGCAGCAGTCTTTCCCCCTACAAGGCATGACGACATCAGAGCTAGGGTTAGCTCTCCGTTGTTGAGGGCGCTGCGAAGAACGTGGCTGTCTCCTCCACTACTATGGTCAGGACACCAATGACAAACGCTGGTGTGACGGCTGGCGGCTCGAGAACAACAGGTGGTGCAAGACATGATGAAGAAGTTACAATTAACTCTTCTCGTGGTGTGGCGGCCACTAGCGATGATGTATGCGGCAATTTCGGACCTATGGTTAGCTCCTTCATTGACGGGTCGATGTCGGCGGCGGCGGATGTCACGTGTGATGAAGATTGAGGTATGGTTGGCTCCTTCTCTGGAAACCTCATGGATTCGATGCGATGGGGACAAAACCTCTCCACATATCGGTTGCACGTAGCGACCAATTCTCGTGCTTGAATACCTTCAATCATCATAGTTTTGCGGTGCCGGAGAACCGGGCTCTGATACCAACTGTTACGTAGATGCGCCGTAGAGGCGGAATTCTACTTACTGGATCTTTGCTTCTCCGGAATTTTGGATACGTTGCTCGACGCTCTCGAGCAGAGGATCTTCTTAATGGCGAGAACAACCCCAAAATAACTACGAAACTACTGAACTGAATGAAAGAAATAATCAAAGCAAACAATCATAAATTGGGTTCCAATCTTCTCATACTATTATTCATAGACAATGTCTCTATTTACAGAGTTACACAACCAAATCCCTTTCCTTCTCACCCAAGGGTCTAACCTCTATCCTTGTCATTTTCCTACTAGATTTCCCTTTCTTCCCTTACAAGAAACATTAATTAAATACTAACACATCTCCTAATCCAAGTAGAACAATTAGGGATGGGATCAGGTGCTAACTCTTATAGGGGTTAGCACCGTGATAACTAGCAAAAAACGCTACTAAAAATAACGAAATCACTACGGATTATTATAAAATCAATACAACATCTAAGCTAAATCACTACCAATTCAAACTAGTAGTAGTTTTTCCCTTGGTTAGGACGGTGCTAACTATTGTACAATTAGCACCGTAACCGTTCCCGAACAATTACTAATAATAATTAATACTAATATTCCCAAATAACAACTTAATACGAACTAATAAGAAAAGATACGCAAGCCCAGTAATTAATGAAATGCTATGATGGCTCAATCTCGTAACAAAAAGCCCTCTAGTTTTCGTTGTAATAGTTAAAATTTGATGAATTGAAATTGAACCTTTGGGTTTTTGCAAGTTTGCGTACTTGTGTGAGCTTTGGTGGATTCCAAACTCGTTGAGCTCTTGTATCGATCAAGAACGCTTTGATCGTGGCCGGACATCTACCTTTATATCATTCGAGCCTTCTTCCACGTGAAAGATTGCACGTTTGATTCCGTTTTATCCAAACACCAAAGAACATCCTTGTTTTTGGGTTCGCATTTCATTTTAATCAATCTGATCCTTGGGTTGATTGTGTTGCTGCGTACTTTGGTAAATATTCAACCCCCTAGGGTTGCATTAAGTGGTATCAGAGTCCCGTTCAAGACTTCAACACAAGGGAGAAGGAGAAGAAGACGCGTTTGTGTTTCGTACGAATTCAGAATTTGTTGCAAACAGAGGAGCCATCTGTTTATGTTTTGTTGTTTGAAGAATTTCAATACGAAGAGCAGACATGTAGCATATTAACATGGAGGATTTGTTAGAAAAGATCGTCGCGATAGTCCAGGTTCAATTGGGGCATTTCATGCGAGACGTTAATCGGATTTTAGATGCTGCCATCAATAGACGTCTCAATCTTATTCCGCGAAAACAGAGTGCTGAATTTTGTCAGCCAAAGGATCGATTGGACGCCCAAAACCCATCGACTTCTGCCTCGGGATTGATCTTCAATGTAGGAGAAGCACCCCTGGATGCTTCAATGAGGTCGGCGCTGCCAAAATGTGAGGTTATTGATGCATACAACACCTGCGAAGAAGAAGGGGAATTGAAGGTCGATTTCACCAAAGAAGTCATCGTCGAGGCTAAAGGAACAGTGAAAAGTCGTGGGAAATCTCCAGAGAAGGCAGAAGATGCTCGAACTTCCCCATTGACAAGAACTACGGAACTCTGCCGCTATTCTGCAGAACAGAGTTCCCAAATCGACGAGCTCGTTGCGGCTTTTATTGATGATTCGAGTGAAGTCACTTCTGTAGAAACATTGCAAAACACCCAAGGAATGAATTCACTAACAAGAGTCGCGCCAAAACAACTTCAAATCAAAGTACCCAATTCGTAAAAATTGCTTCTGCAGATGCCGGAATGTGACTCCAAAGCTATTGTTCTTGTCGGAGCAATAGAGAGTGATTCGACCCAAACGATCACTATAGACGAGTTCCGGGAGGTGTTTGGAAGGTGTAGGAGCAATCAATTCGTCAAGACGATGCTTGAACAAGAAACGCCCAATTTCGAATTGAAGATTCTGGGTAAGGAAATTATGCAGCAGAACATGTTTGAGCATCCCACTTTCGATCCAATTTGGGATCAATTCTGAGTACGATTTGAGCAAAGAAAGGACAACGTGTTGAGGGAAACACTTTTTCAAGAGGGAGGGCCTGATATGATCCAAATGGTCCATTATACACGTTTAATTTAATTGACGAAGAAGATAACGAAGTTGGGAAGAAGGGGGACAGAATTTGGTTGTCATTTTCCGAGTTCATGGTACCTATTTTGGAGGCATGGTTCTCTCAATTGGCTTTGTGGAAATTCAAGGTTAGGTGCTTGTTTTAAAGATAAAGTTTCTATCTATCCAATGGTATGCTTTTTGGATCCAGAATAAGTCATTAAGATTGTTTTCCAAGGCCTCAAAGTTGCTACCTCAAAACTGGAAAACTGCCAGAAAATGGTTTAAGTCTGGAAACGTGTTTATGAAGCCTACTTTGGAGCTCAATTCGAGGAGCATGGAGTTGATTCGAGTCCGGAAGGCTTCCACAAAATGGAAATAGTTATATTTATCTACAAAGGGAAGGAATTGGATGAAAGATCGGAGTTATGGAAGGCCTCGAACGAAAGGCGTGAAGTTAGTACGAAAGCTTCTTTTGGACTGTTTGCTGGCAGCTTACTTGTGCTTCAAGAATGGAAGTTTAAACCGAAATTTTGAGTCCTTTTTAGAGTAGATTTTTACCTTAATTGCTTTACTTGTTAGTTTAGATTTGTATTAGGTTTTCTTTGGCTATAAAAGCCCTCTAGTTTTCATTGTAATAGTTAGAATTTGATGAATTGAAATTGTACCTTTGGGTTTTTGCAAGTTTGCGTACTTGTGTGAGTTTTGGTGGATTCCAAACTCGTTGAACCTTTAGGTTTTCTGGGATATTGTGTGCACGTCGGTGGTTGAAGCAGTAATTTCTTTCTTTACCTCGGGTCGGATACTGCGGAGTTTTAACCATACCTGACTCACTTTGATCCCTAAAGTGGACGCAGTGGAAACAATTAGACAATTGCGTCCGATTAGCCTCTGCCAGTTTGTTTACAAGGTGATTACTAAAATCATGGCTGAAAGGCTAGCTGACATGCTCCCTCAGATAGTTTCGGAGGGCCAAAATGGTTTTATCAGAGACCGGCAAATTATTGATAACATCCTTATAGGACATGAACTAATGCATTATCTGAAAATAAAAAAGCAAGGGAAGAAGGGGTACATGGCCCTGAAGGTTGACATGGAAAAGGCCTATGATAGAGTCGAATGACCCTTCCTTCTTACGGTTTTGGATAAGATGGGCTTTAGTTCGGTCTGGCAAGGGTGGATACTTGAATGTCTTTGATCCTCCTCTTTCTTGGTTCTGATGAATGGTATGCCCTCGGGTTACTTCACTGCCTCTAGGGGCCTTCGCCAGGGGGATCCGCTCTCTCCGCTGCTGTTTGTGCTCTGCACGGAGGGGTTTGCAGCCCTCCTCCGTAAGGCGATTACAGAGAAAATTTAGAGGGGGTGAAGGTAGCTCCTCGTGCTCCTAGAGTCTCGCACCTGTTCTTCGCCGATGATTCTTACTTGTTCTTGCGAGGTTCTCTACAGGAGTGCGAGAATTTAATTGAGGTTCTGAATGAATATGACGAGCTGAGTGGTCAACGCGTTAATTTGGCAAAATCGGCGGTGTGCTTTAGCAAGAATATTTCCACGCCAGATCAGGAGTTCTTGGCCACGATTCTAGGGGTTGGTGCTATGGGGGTCCATGATAAATATCTGGGATTTCCCACATTAATTGCTCGCTCTAAAATGGAGACGTTCAGATATTTGGAGGAAAAACTCCTAGAGCGTCTCCAGGGGTGGAAGCAAAGGACGTTGTCGTGCGCTGCGAAGGAAACTTTGATTAAATCCATAGCGTTGGCTCTCCCACTTCATGTTGTGTCCTGTTTCCACCTCCCCCTAGCTCTTTGACGTCTTTTGGATAGACATGTCGCCCACTTTTGGTGGGGTGCTGAGGAAGGTCATCCCAGTGTCCTGGCGAAATATGTGCAGGACTAAGCATGAGGGGGGGGGGGATGAGATTTCGCCAGTTTGAACATTTCAATCAAGCTCTTTTGGCTAGGATAGGTTGGCGTATTCTGAATGAACCTCAATCTCTTATTGCCCAGGTTTATAAAGGCAAGTATTTCCCTCAAGGGTCTTTCCAGTCTGCAACTGCTAGGTCTTGTCCCTGTTGGGGTTGGCAGAGTATCCTTCATGGGCGTCATTTATTGGAGATGGGCTTAAGATGGCAGGTTGGGAATGGCCTATCAGTCTCCCTCATCCATTCTAACTGGATTCCTAGGTACCAATTAGATCCCCCCTGCTATAATCCTCGAATCTTGCCTGAGGGGGGTGATCCCTTGGTAACAGAGGTTATTTGTGAGGGGGCGGGAGGTGGTCTGATGAGAAGCTTAGTCAATGGTTTGACCCGCCCACTTGTAGGGCTATTAAAGCTATTCCTCTCCCGAGATGGGATGTGCCTGATAAGCTTATCTGGAATTTTACGGCGGATGGGGTGTTCTCGGTGAAGTTGGCTTACCATTTGGCTATCGATTTGGACAGGAGAAGGGGTGGCTGGCAATCCTCGGTTACCTGGATGGATAAGCCGAGTTGGATTAGAGTGTGGGAGGCGAAGATCCCTCCGAAGTTCAAAGTTTTTGTTTGGAAAATTCTTAATCGGGCTCTGCCAACCACAGAGGCGCTTATTGAGAAAAAGGTCCAGGTACTACCTCGGTGTCCAGTTTGTTGGGAGGGCACGGAGATGATAGAGCTAGGCTTGTCGGAGGTCCGGTTTGAGGGCGATGCAAAGGTGATTATCGACAAAATTAATCAAGCCGACGTAAGAGATAGCCGGTTGGGTGCTGTTCTGGAAAAGATTAGCCATCATTTTAGTACTCAATCTGGCTTTAGTGTGCGTTTTGAAGGTCGGGAGAACAATAGGGTAGCTCATTTGGTAGCTAGGAAAGCCCTTTCTTTGTACCCGACTACGAGTCGCTTCTTTAATTTCCAGGCCTGGCTGGTTTCTAGGGTGTAACTGCCTATTTTTTGATCAATATATGATATCTTTTCACACAAAAAAACACACACTATTGCGTTTCTTTTTAGTTAGTCTGCGTTTTTAATCTTTTTTTCTTTTCCGCCGGGTTATTTAATGGGTAATACTTTATATTTATTAAGTAGAAAATCATTCATTACATAAGATTAGCCTAACACCATTTTACTTGGGGTGGTAAATGGTTAGTAGGCCTGTCGGTTCGGTTCGGGTTGGGTAACAGAACCCAAAAATCGTAAAAAACCGAGAAACCGAACCCCGCAACCCGAAACCGGACCGGTTTGAGTTTTTTTTAATACTTTTGTGATTTGAATTTTATATTCTTTTGCTTGTACAAACAATTTTATTCTTATTATTTGTACATTCTTATTTAACCATTATGTTTAATTTTATGGGACGTGGACAATATAAAACTAATATTTATATAATAGTTTATTATTAAAATATTAGTTAATTATTAAAGTATTTAATTTTATGTATTCTATAACTATAGACATACTATTAACTATTAAAGAGTATTACTAGTTTAGAGACAAAGTAAAATACTTAAACATATTTTACACGTAAATTAATCATATCTTATTTTGCTATGTTAAGTAATACAACCTTTTGGGCCATTTAATTGTGGATTTTCATATAATTAAATGTTTTAGTAATACCATAGGTCCAAAATTGAAGGTATATCAACTATCATATGCAAATGTTTGGTGTTTGGCGCAAAATTATAAATAATTTTGTTTAACATAACATACCGACAATCATAGATGAGATTATCTTCAACTCGTAATTAAACACATTAATTTTACAATTCTCAAATGATAACATCCAAGTAAAATCAAAGTTCATCCACCATACAAGATAAACACTACTACCATTATCACTCCTCATCAGGCTCTACATCCACATAAGTCTCATCATTTTCATCAGAATTGTCGTCGACATAGTCGTCTTCCACTTGTGACATAGTAGGACTCGAGACCAAAATATGGGTAGCAGGAGAGCTTCCACTAGGTCCTGCAGGTGCACTTGAACTCCGATCTTGAAAAGCTGCATATACTGGATAACATAAACAATAACAACTTGTTAGAATATGACTTGATCAAGATAACAAATATAAGAATAAAGAGAAAGATTAAGTCCTTACCATTTTGAAATACCACTTCATCACCCTCATCTTCTCCATCAGCCACCAACTCGGAGTCTGAAGATCTTATCCAATCTTCACAACAAATCAAAGCCTCCACAACTTCAGGGGATAAGGAGGTCCTAAACGAATCTAAAACTCGACCTCTTGTGCTAAATGCCTACTCAGAAGCAACAGTGGAAATAGGAACAACAAGAATATCCCTAGCCATCTCAGAAATAGTAGGATATTTCATCCCACTTCGCGACCACCATCCCAAGATGTCAAACTTGTATTCATCCTCTTCTGAACCCACCAATGCTCGTGTAACCACTTTATCATCCTCCTCCTACTCAAGGTACCTATCAAACTCAGATTTTGAACTTTTCTGGTTCCTTTCAGAATGGCATCTCTTTCATTTTCCTGAAATCACCCCAAATCTTCCCTTTCTTCTTCCCATCCCCACTTCCACCAGGTTCTTGCTCATCTTCCTGAATCACAATGGGAGAACTGCCATGAATTCCAAGTTTATGCTTGTAATGGTCAAACAGAAGACGCATTTCATCTTTCACCTCTTCAACCAAAGCTTTACCCCTGCTCTCACCATATACCTTTTTCAAAGCTTGTTCAAGATATTCAACTTTCCGCCTAGGATCTAATATGACTGCCATATAACAGAACCGATTCATCTTGGAATTCTCCAACTCATCTTCAAACCAATACTTGGCAAGTTTGGACTTTATTCTCTCAGCCATGCATTACACCTCAAAATCTATACCATCATCCCACTCAGATATCATAGTATACATTTCACATACCTCATCAAACAAGAGGTGTAAAGTCACATATGAAGTCCCAGAAACTCGAACAGTCAAATCATAGAACAGTCAAACATTGGACAAACACGAGCCATAAACCGTTTGAACCCTTCATGTTCAACATACCTAAATGACAATTCATCTATGATAATCATCTCCGCTAAAGCTCTCCTAGCATCAATCTGATCGAATTTCCAAGTGCCAAGAGTGTATACCTGGCCTCCAGAAGATGATAGATGGTCGACTATCATCTCACCCTTTTCTATCTTTTCCAAACAACTATCTTTATGATTCCGCAGAGTAGAAGTCCCATGTTTAGTGGGAGCCATAAGAACACCATTGCATTAAATTCATCTTGCTTTGTCCACTCCATCCTTCTAAAAACGCTTGAAGTGTGGCCAAATGTCAGACTTTTCTTTCCTTTTTCTTGAAATTGTCTCCTCATCTATTGTTTGAGCAGGAGGTACATTGGTGGTACCGGTAGACCGTGCAGGAGAAGGAGCAGGATCGGAAGACGGTGCAGAACACGGTGCAGGAGCAGGAATGCTGGTACCCTTAGAGCATCCTCCACGTCTAGGACAAGAAGCCGATGGTGCCTCATTTCCCCTGTCAAAATGAAAAGTTGAGTTGAGTTAAAGCCTGGAGGTTTTTAGTGCCAACAAGTGGTTTAGAGGTCCTGTGACCAATGTGAGCGTATAGATCAATTGGGATTCCAAAATCTATAAGCCCCTCTTTAGAAATGTTTTCTCGAAGAACTGCTTTGGCGTGAAATGATAATGCGAGAGAATGTTTTCGTGTAAGTAGAGTTTGTTTTAGTTGGGTAGTATTCGAAATCGTACTGTTGGAGTTTGCAATGAGCAGCATGAAGCTTTACCTGGAGTGATCTGAGATGTTTTAGTTACAGTAAGGCTTATTAGCTTAGTAGTTGATTACAGTTCTGCATAATAGTTCCAATCTTCTCAATCGACAATGTTCACAAAGAGCAATTTTATTTCATCGCAACACAATCACAAACCTGTACTTCAATACAAAAATGACCTTTCATTACCAGTTCATCAGACTACTAAACTCACTTTTGCTCCACAATTAAAACTAACAGGACAATCCAAAAGGAAACAGAACTCAACGCTAATCTACCCAGCAGGATCAAATTAGTATCTGCTCCTAAGGAGCTAGAACTGATGCGTTTTAACTCCACTACTGTTCTGAAACTTGTGGGTGACTTATTTCCAAAAATTCTACATCTTTCTCTCCACATCTCATTAACCACCAAAAACCTCCTCCTAGGATTCTTGTCCAAAGCAGAACCCATGAGTGAATTTCACCAAAGCAGAACCCACGAGTAACAAATTAGCTACGGTAACAAGAACCCAGTAATAAATTGAAGCAAAAGAAGATTTGTTCGAAGAGACTCACTGGGATTCCATGTTCGGAAGTAGGACTTGGATCTGGTTAGAGATCTCGGTGCTAAAAGAGTGGTTGCAGGGGTTCTGTTTTTTCTGGTAAGGAGTAGCGCACAGTCGGGCCTTTGGGTATGGTTTACTGGATGGAAGTAGCTTGATTCCGAGAATAAATTGGCATTTGTAGGACAGAACTTTCCTTTGTGGCCACTCTCTCTGTGAAACCAGCAATGGAAGAAGACGAAAGAAGAAATTGAGGAAGGGGTTGCAGTGGGTTGAGTGGAGAGCAGGCTACAAATTAGCTGGCGGCGAGGACGATGATGGTGGCGACTGGCAAGGGAGCTCTGTTTCGTTTGGTGAAGACGAAGAGAGTGAGATTGCGCCTGCGGCTGCGAGAACGAGGATGAGGTGGAGTCGAGACTCGAGAGCTAGGGCTGAGGCTGACTCTCCTTCCCAAAACGACAGCGTGAAGCCCCACTGCCCCAGCATCAGTTTTCGGTTTTCGGGTTGGTTTCGGTTTTGCGGGTTTTAGTAACCCGAAACCGATACTATAGATATCGGGTTGAACCCAAAAAAACCGAAACCGAGAATGAAAAAACAGTTCGGGTTCGGGTTAACCCGAAAACCCGAAACCGAATTGGCAGGCCTAATGGTTAGTAATCGATAACCGAATCAATGAAGATGGTTAGTGGTTAGCCGATAATCAATAATTTTTTGTTGGTTTGGTCGGTTAGCAGTATTTTGTTTAGTAGTTAACCGATAAGAAAATCGATAACCGCCTACTATTATAACCACATAGTTTTGGACTTTCGGCTAAGGGGAAAAAAAATTCATGATTCCAAACCAACCAAAGTTGCAATTCCAAACCCCTCGATCAATTCCAACATATTGCAACAATCCTCCACCAAGTGTCTCCAATGTGTTTAACAGTTAGAACTCGAAAGTCACCCCTCTCTAAATTCCTTTGCAATCGACAGAGCGGACCTCACACCCTGATGATACTTTTTTTCTTTGATGTTATTGAATGATGATGATCTTGTGGTGTTTGTTTTATTTATGTCTTGTTAGTTGCTACTAGCTAATTGGTGAATACAGTTTTATTAATTTTATTATATGAATTGAAACTTGAATTGGAATCACGTTGAATTATCATTTTATGTTAACAATATAAAAATATAGTTAAATTACTTTGAATTATTTATATGATTATTCGTCTTTAATATTTAGTACTCTTATTTATTGTTATATTTGTAGATTAAAAATAATATAAAATTATACTTTTAAACTTAATTGGATGATGATTTGTTATTACAAGTGGTTATTGATCATCGGTTTATTATATTTCGTGTAAGAAATTGAAGCTATTGGTTCGATTAGGTATGACCGTAGTTGTTGGAATGTATGTTAGTGTGATGAACACATTTTTATAACATATTTATGGATTAATTGAATATTAAATTGTGGTGTATTTGTTTGTTGGTTTCATTGTTGGGGAGGGAGCATTTTGATTAAGTTATTATTTTGGGTAGCAAAAGGGGTAGTTCGGTTAGTATAAATAATTTTGTAAGTAGAGGATTATTGCTAAGCTTAATACGAATATCAATTATCCTAATTTAGAGCGGAGGTGTTCACACCAATATGGACCCACCAATCTTACAGTTAAAATGTGGGATGAGCTTTTTAATTAATGACAGAGGTAGTTTGGGTATTATGAAAAGTTACGAAGTATACAAACCGGACTTATAAACAGTACAAGCTATACAAACATACGAACAATACAAACTAGACCGACAAAACATACAAACAGATTTACAAACAATACGAAACATACGAACTATACAAATAATACAAGCTAGACCGACAAACATTACAAAACATACTAACAGTACAAAATGTCACTACTTACAATACAAAACATTAAACTTATATTACAAATCAATGAATACAAAGTATACAAATCACAACATAAAGTATACAAACTAGACAAACAAACATTACAAATTACAATGTATTAAACATTATAAACAATAATAGATAAAAATGACAAATTAGAATGATAAATGATGCAAAGAGAATTGATAAAAAATTATAAAACATACTTATAAACATTAAAAAATTGTCCGAACAACATAACAAAACAGAGTTTGTCGCCGGAACTCGACGAAAAATCATCTCGCTCTTGTTGCACTTGGGGAAAAATTTCCAGTGATCGCGCGGGGGGGGGGGGGGGGGGGGGGGGGGGGGGGGGGGGGGAATTCCCAGTGACAGTCGACAGGAATTATTCCTAGGCACCGACAGGAGGGAAATGGCAGGCCAACTTATTTTTTAATTTTTATTTATTGTTTTAATTAGGCAAAAATACAGTTGTATATCCACAACTATCAGGTTTGTGACAACTATATCCATAACTATCAAAATACACAAAATATCCATTTTCGTCCACTCCGTTAACTCCGTCAGTTAACTTGATGACTGGACAGACGGTGGATGCTTAGTTGGCGTGTTTCTGACCCCACTAAATGACGTGGATTAAAAGAGAAAAAAATTTAGGCAAAATACAATTGTATATCCACAACTATCAGGTTTGTAACAAATATATCCACAACTATCGAAATACACGAAATATCCAAAAATCGGATGGTTGTGTGACAAATCTATCCATTTTCGTCTGAAACTATAACGGCGTGTCAGACGACGTTAAATTGAATAACGGAATGTCGAATCGATGTCATCTCACCTGCCACATAAGCCAAAAAGCAACCAAACTTTACACCGTTATCTGTTAGACCTCGTTGTTGCAGTCTTCTTTGTTGGCAATTTGGTTAGATTCAAGCTTTTTTGGTTTGAGATTCAAGCTTGGTATCACCATGGTGCCGACTGCATGGAAGCCGTCGGAGTAAAAGGGAGGCAATGGTTGGGGATTGTGGTAGGTTATTTTGGGCCGGAGGCGTCGATCGGAGGAGGATCAGTGGTTATCAGGCGTGTTTCTGGGTTGGATTTTTAGCCTCGCCGTCTGTAGGTTTTAGGGGTTTTTTTAAAAAAATTCTCTTTTCATCCACGTCATTTAGTGGGGTCAGAAACATGCCAACTAAGCATTCATCGTCTGTCCAGTCATCAAGTTAACTGACGGAGTTAACGGAGTGGGCGTAAATGGATATTTCGTGTATTTCGATAGTTGTGGATATATTTGTCACAAACCTGATAGTTATGGATATACAACTGTATTTTGGCTTTATTCAACTAGCCTATTTGGCATCTATGTGTAAAGTTTGGTTGCTTTTTTGCTTATGTGGCAGGTGAGATGGCATCGATTCAACATTCCGTTAGTCAATTTAACGTTGTCTGACACGCCGTTATAGTTTCAGACGGAAGTGGATAGATTTGTCACACAACCTTCTGATTTTTGGATATTTCGTGTATTTCGATAGTTATGGATATATTTGTCAGAAACCTGATAGTTGTGGATATACAACTGTATTTTGCCTTTTAATTAATAAATTAGATAATTTTGTAATTCTTACATTACTCTTCATCAAATTAGATTAATTAAAATCGTTGGATTTTAATAAGTTGAAAGGGCTGAAATTCAATTAATCATGTAACTAAGGACACTTGTCTTAGCTTGTGAAGGCGGCCTCAGGAAACACCCTTGTCCAATATAATAAATTTTAATTAAAATATAAGCTATATGGCATTTCAAATTGAGATGAAGCAGGATAAAATCGTGCATACTTAACTTAATCCACCTTGATTATTTTAATGCATCTGTTATTTTTTAATATCCGAACTTGTTTTTTTTTTACAATGGCGAGTAGCATTAAGCCAAAGAAAAAGGGTTCAACAAACGGGAGCAGTGCAGAGGTTCACAAGGATTGAACCTCTCCAGCCCAGCAGAACGAAACAACTGTAAAAAAAAAAAAAAAAAAAAAAAACGAAGAACAAAGAACAAAATGGAGAAAAGAAAAAACAGGCCAAGAGGAACAACCACCCATATAAGTGGATCGAGCCACTTCTGATGAGGGTCACTAGCGCTGACTCAAACAACATGACTGGCTAACTGACTGAATCAAACAACACTAGCCACTTCTGCTGTGTTCTCTTTTTTTCTCTTTAATATCCGAACTTGTAACAAATTATTATATCATTTCTTGTTTCAAGATGACGGTCCTTAGTGAAAATTAAGATAAAATCTTGTTATTATCATGATCATCGATTCAAAGAATAATGATGTCACGGTTATCCTTGTAAACAATAATTTAGTTGAAGAAAGGGCAGTGATGAATAACCAGTTTAAGAGAGGAAAGGGAACTCATCCAATCACCATCACAAAACTAAGGATAAAAATCACAAAAATGGAGCCACACTTTTTTTATTTATATTGATCTGTAACAATAATACACTACTTGATTGCAGCAACCACTATATAGAGAAATACCAAAAGTGAAGAAGCAAAAGAATTAGTAGTGAATTATATGTGAAAAGGGCTCCAAGTAGCTGCCCATGAAGATAAACTAAATGGTTCGCATCTTAAAAAAATAAAGATAAATTAAATAATTAAGAAACGAACTTTATATGAAAGAGGTATACTATAACGAACAAATTTTAATTAAGTCAGTACTATCAGTGCCCCACTCCTGGGCTGGGACCATCATTTGCAGCATCGGTGAAACTGTTCCCGACGCCTGGGCTGGGCCCCGATTGCTTCACCGCCCCAAGGGCCAATCCCTCCCAGAAGGCCGCATCGGCCCACCAGCTCCCACCACTCTGCGCATCGGGCCGCTTCAATATTTTGAACGGCCGAGACTCCACTCCGCAGCCAAGCACATGAATCATAACCGCAACGGCTATCAGAACGGTCAGAATCCGGACAAATCCTGCTCTGGCCATTGATCGGGTTAATAATTTGGAATCTAGGAAGGGAATTGGGAATCTATGTTGTTTTCTGTTTATGTTTATGGGAAGGCGAGGAATTAATATTGCACGTCAAGTGTTTGTGGAAATGCCTCTGTGGTTCGAGGTGTATATATATAGTTCGAAAGCAGGCAAAGCTGACTCTGAATGTTGAAACGGAAATTTGTGCTTGTTTCCAAGGGGGAAAGGAAGCAGCGGCGATGGTTCGGATCGGTCCATCCATAAGACTTGGGGATCAATGTAATTGAGTCAGTTGGTTGGTCAAACATGATAACTCACTCCGCCATTGGATTTGGGGGAAGAAGACTAAATAATACTCGGGTTTTCAAAAGCCATCTCAACGAGCTAGCCCATATTAAAATTTTGGATGGGAACTTGGACTTCTGAGTTTAATTATTCCTCAAGTTGGAATTTGACTCAGAGGCAAAGGGTGTCTCGCTCATTTATTTCACGTTTGCATGATCCTAGTCAATTTAGGTTGTAGAGACGATGCACGAGTGCATGGTAATGCATGTGCATGGATCATGTTTTCCGTCTTTATTTATATGCATGATTATACTGCAATTAGCCTACGACATAAACCCTAGTTGATTTATTGTGAAGGGTGTGTGCCTATGGAAGGCATTGTGCAGGACTTGTAACCGTAACAAAAATAGATTGAATAGTAAAAAAAAAAAAAAAACTCATAGCAGTAATTTCCAACCCATGAATTTTCTCTGCGTTATCGACGTTCTGCCGCTTACCCTGGTTGCATTATGAGCATGATAGAAAGAACCATGTCAAGCAGGCTACATCAACCAAACCTCTTACGTTGTATGTCAACTCCGTCTATTGTTATCAGGGCCGTCCCATTATATTCGGAGGCCCTGTTCGAAAATTTAAATGTGGCTTCAATTTTTTTTTCACAAATTTATTAAAAATAAAAATTACATATCTTCAAAAAATTATTACAAATTAATAATATTATATATTATCAAATATTATCTACACTTAGAACTACCTTTTTCAAATTTTCAATCAATATAAGTTCTTTGCAAAAGAAAAGAATAAATATTAGAACTTAAAACAAGTTGATTAAGAGTCTGGATAGTAGGGATGAGAACTTAATCAGAATTGGGTGTGAACAATTCATATTTAAACTTTGGATGATTTTGGGAAGTTGAGAAATTTTGGGGAAAGAGAAGAATAGAGGCGCTAAAAACTCTAATTGCTATTTAAAATTCAACAAACCAATTTGCAGTTTAGTGGTTGAATATCCTTTTAATTAGAAGGAGGTTGATGGTTCGATTCCCGTCCCTGCATCCTTGTACATGGAGTTTTTTTGTAGGCCTTGCCAGCCCAAGGGGGCCTCCAGACTCTTATGGATTATGTGTGCTTCGCTCTAGCCAAGCGGGCCTCCGAAACATATGGATTATGGATAATGGGCCCCCCAAAACTTGAGGCCCTGTGATGTGGGTCTGACCAACACTGGGCCGGGCCTGATTGTTATTTTACCTCAATCAGATCCTCAACATGTTAGGAGTTCTCTTGACATACACTAGTTATGGAGAATAGGTGATTGATATGACAGATTCTCTCCTAACCAAGAATAAGCTAGGGTTTGTCATTGGAATAGTCTCCCGCCCAACTACTGCACGTGAACTATTGGATGCTTGGCTTTGTTGTGATTAGGATGCCAATGGGGCGGATATGAGGCAGATTTCTCTGAACCACCCACATCCTAATTTTCAAATATCCAAACTCATATCCAGATGTGACCATCCACAATCATTGGGTCATGCTTCATGAGTTGAAGGTGGTGCAGATGAACAAGGCAAAGCTTAAGGTGGTGGTCCCCAATATGAATGCAATTTATCATTATTGTCCATTACTTTCCTAATGTAAGTAGAAGGTACCTGTGTCATGGTTGACTATACGCCGAAATCGATAGATCATTTTGGAATTGTTAGATCGTTTGACGAAAGCAGTGTACCGCTTCCAACAAGTACACTGGTTTGAACGTATGTGTATCTTCAGGCCAATCGCTTGCGTGAAGCGGTGGACCACTCTGTGTACGCAGTAAACCATTTTCTTGAAAAGCGGTCGACCGCCTTGTGAAAGAGGTAGACTGTTTTCTTGGAAAGTGGTCGACCGCTTTGTGGAATAGATATATCATGTTTTTCAAGTCACGATGACTTGCAAGTCACCAATCACCATAGCATACCCTATATGTTATAGATTATCACACATTTTTGCGTTTCTTTTTGGTTCGTCTGTGTTTTTTTTTAAATCACATTTCTTTTTTTCATTTGGTTATTTAATGGTTAGTACGTACTTTATATTTATTATGTAAAAAATTTCATAAATAATTATGCAATCTTAATTTCTTATGGAATAGTTATATAGAATGTTTGGTGTAAGACTTATGCAATAACTTATTATTATACATAATGCAGTGTTGAATATCATTACGTGAAAGGATCATCTATTGGACTATTGGTAAAGTACGCACAATATAATTTTTAAAAAATTACGTGAAAATATAAAGAAATTATGTAAATATTAATTGAACACAATAAAATTATACGTATTATGTAAGTTTCCATAATTACTTACTTTAGATAATCGAATGTTTATATCCATTACGTAAGAGGATTCTCCCTTATGTAAGTGTTTACGCTAGAAAGTGCCAGACGGAGTTTAGTGGGAACTTTGAAGACATCACGCCTTTCCTTGAGCAGGGAGCTACTGTTCCTGCAGAAAAGGTCCGAGGGTGGGAGCCCTTGGACACTCTCCAACGATCAAGTCAGTATTTAGAGAGAGAAAGTATATAGGGAGAGGGTAGGTTAGTTACCATTAAATGAGGTGGTTGGTGTCAGTGGCGGACCCAGAAATTTTCCATAGGGGTGTCCTCTTTTAAAAAATAAATTAAAAATAAATAATTATAATTAATAAAAATAAAATCGTAAATATGAAAATAGCTTACTCGTACATGTTAAAAAAGTCCATGGTGTGTTTTCATATTCAAAAATAATTGTAGAATACACTTGGTGTTTATAGTGTTAAAAAAAATTCTCTATACACCCTACTAGACAATCATTCGGGAACTTATCGCATATTCGATTTGTAAACTTGTTCTTGATGTAACCCAAAGCTGAAAGACATTTCAACACTTGCCATACAATCATAAAATCAATACAAATTAAGGGAAGATTGAAATTAGTTTAGATTGAAATAATTAGAGATAGGGAATGACTTTTTACTATTACACATTGTTCAAAATCGAACACCAAATGAGTTGTAGCTCAACGGAAATTAAGTTTATTAATAATAATAATAATAGTGCTCTAGATTTAAATTACCCAACCTACCATTTATATTTTTATACACAAATGACAGTAGGATAATCATTTTTGAAATTTCAGGGGTGTCCCTCACTATCAATTATATTTTTTTGTCTATACGTAAATTACCACCGGGGGTTGGATAATCATTTTCCCAAAATTTAGGGGTGTCCGGGGACACCCCTAAAACCCCCTGGGTCCGCCCCTGGTTAGTGTGTACTAAACATCATCTCAAACGGCCACGCCTTCGGCGGCATTTAATGCAGTGTCAGCCTGGCATGATTAGCACTAACTGCTGTCTTATCAGCCATACGTTTCCTATGCTCACAACTTCTGAGGCGTCTCCGCTTCCGGCCAATCATCTCATCATTGGGCCTTCATGGCTATTGGGCCGACTCTTGTCTTGTGGGCTTTGGTTTGGGTATGTATTCCCGTATGGCCTAACAATTGTCCCGCAGGCGGGTAAAGCCTCCGGGTTTGGGCGGCTGATATTCTGAGTATGGGGCGGGAACACTTCACAAACCAAAGACCTAGCACGTAAGTCATTTCCCCCAGCCGTCGAATTGGCGGCGTCCCGCCTCGGGATGGTTTTATCCTTCGTAGACTGCCACGTGTTAGACAACACGTTTTCCCATAGGTAGTAGAAAGGACGTGTCGTCAGACGTTTGAAAAACCATAATTATTACGACCTGCATAGCCTACCTAGGGTTACTTGAGAACTTTCTTCTGGAATCCGCGCCTCCTTCCTTTAAAAAGCCCTCTGAAGAAGCGAAACAAGTTAGTTCACTGTTTCTACTTTGCTTTCATCTCTGGTTTTCCTTTCGATCGCCGCCGTCGTCGTGATCTTTCCCCCGTGTTCATCATAGCCCGTTGCGGTCGCTACGAATTCCGGTGTTTCCTAACAATGCCTGGTGGAGACAGTTCTTCACGCTTGCTACTTTCTACCGGCTCTGGGTCGTCGTCGGGTCGGAAGAAACCATCGGCCGACACTTCCGCCGTCGCCACCGCTTCTAGCGGCGTTGCCGCAGCCGCCGCCGCAGTTACTCTCGCCGATGCTCCGATTAATCTCGACTAGTCGAAGATGGTTTTAGACCCTATTACCGTTGTCGCTCAAGGTATGCTAAATCTGAATCTTTTATCGTCGTTTAGTATGTCCGAAATTGATTGGATTTTAGTGGGGTAGATGCAGATTTCGGTGGTTCCTGGTCGGATGATGGTCGATACCTTCTAGGTAGAAGTGGAGACGGGTCGTTTGAATCGACAGATGTTGCTTTGGGTTTAGGCGTAAAAAATGTAGCCAATAGGGGAGACGCTTCCATCGTCGGAGATAATCTGGCAAGTTTCGACGATCTGTCAGTGGCGAGCGTGAGTATCGAAGAGGGCCTAAGTATTGATGAGCAGTGCTCGCCTGAGTGAACCGATTCCCCTTCCATCGAGCTTTCTGAAGATACCTCTAATTACAATTACAGAGTGGTGTCGGACGATGAATACTCTGTGCGCCTCCACGAGCACATGTGGGGTAGGAGCGAAATTCACATCTGCGCTTTCACTCGGGGGCCTGATAGGTATAGCCAACTTAAGCCTGTCACCATCCTTACCCGCCTCAGAAATCACAAGATTCCGACTGAATGGAAATACGCCTCCCCGTGTTCCACTTCCAGAGCGGGAACGTGTCCCAAGCATTGGATCACCATATACACCGAGCAGCTGAAGCTTGGTTTGCGCTTCCCCCTCGACCCTCTTATCACTCAGACTTTGCTGTGT